GACAGGTCCATATGAACAGGGTCCTTCCATCCTTTTCTCGGACTGGGCCCTGTTCATATACGTTCTTGGCAGATGATCCCGAAGTGGTTTGCCATTGCCTTCTTCTGTGTGTGAATGGAGTAATTGTTGGGATGCCACGGAGGAAAACTCCGTGTTGCCTAGACCACGGCCTTGCCCAACACAAGTTATAAATTCGAACCCGAGACCCCAGGATTACAAGGCCAGCGTTCCAACCGCTAGATTTAAAATACACCATTAGGAAAATCCAAGAACACCAGGAAGGCTTGGCATTGCACGGGACACATCAGTGTCTAGTAGATGGTGTCGTTGCTGTTCGGTAGATGCCGATGATTCAAAGGAACACACTACCCTGAAGTTGGAGGTGGTATGTCCCTCCAAAACACTGTTGTCTAAATACGCCGACGATTCAAAGGAAGACACTACCCTGAAGATGGAGGTGGTATGTCCCTCCAAAACACTGTTGTCTAACTACGCCGATAATTCAAAGGAACACACTACCCTGAAGTTGGAGGTGGTATGTCCCTCCAAAACACTGTTGTCTAACTACGCCGATGATTCAAAGGAACACAATACCCTGAAGATGGAGGTGGTATGTCCCTCCAAAACACTGTTGTCTAACTACGCCGATAATTCAAAGGAACACAATACCCTGAAGTTGGAGGTGGTATGTCCCTCCAAAACACTGTTGTCTAACTACGCTGATAATTCAAAGGAACACACTACCCTGAAGTTGGAGGTGGTATGTCCCTCCAAAACACTGTTGTCTAACTACGCCGATGATTCAAAGGAACACACTACCCTGAAGTTGGAGGTGGTATGTCCCTCCAAAACACTGTTGTCTAACTACGCCGACGATTCAAAGGAACACACTACCCTGAAGTTGGAGGTGGTATGTCCCTCCAAAACATTGTTGTCTAACTACGCCGATGATTCAAAGGAACACACTACCCTGAAGTTGGAGGTGGTATGTCCCTCCAAAACATTGTTGTCTAACTACGCCGATGATTCAAAGGAACACACTACCCTGAAGTTGGAGGTGGTATGTCCCTCCAAAACACTGTTGTCTAACTACAAGTCCATATGGCATTACTACCCAGAAGACAAACATTAACATCTCCACTGGTGTGAAAACATCGCACGTCATACATTTGATGCTAGTAAGGAGGCTGGTCTAAAAGTAAAACTGGAGAAAATTAAGTTATGTATTTGTGTCTTGTTATCACAGTGCAGGACAAAACCATTGAGCAGTCCCCTTCATAAACTAACTGTACGCTCAAGTAATCAACAAATTCCCTGCCTTTTACAGAACCTAAAGGTTAAATAAACAGTGTTCACAATTGTCTGCCATTAGAACAATCGTAACATTGAGACAGTTAACAAAAACGTTTAAAGAGTGGCTACGTTCTAAGATCACTTTAAATTCTGGGAGTGCCTGCTAGCATTTGATACAGAATCTTTAATCTTAGCATCTTGCCTAAAACCCACCGACGATCAAGAATTCATGTACTCAGTTCTATCCATGAGGCAGGGCACACAAAATGGCTGTTCCCAGCACGACAACGCGACTCACTGACCTGCAGTCAAATCAAGGACCAACACCTTCCGATAAAGAGAAATTGTACCTGCAAGATTTATCTTTCTTTTGTCGTTTCTTTCTCTTCTTATGTTTCTTCTTCTTTTTCTTGGTATGAGACGCAGAGTCAGAGTCTGAATCTGCAGAGGAGCTGTCACTGCCACTGCTACTAACTGGCTTCTTCACTTTCTTGTCTGCAACAAAAATTTCAGCTGCGTTAAAATTAGCACAAAATTCATATTTAGAAGTATCAAATAAAATCACTTAATTCCGCTGCAATTTGCGAAGATCAACTACATCAGGACGGAAGCAAAAAACAATTATGCAGACGCCCGAATGACTATATATGAGATGTCACAATTAAATAACCAGAATGATAAAAACACAGGTGAGTTTGTGTGCACTGTATCACATGGCTATGCGATTCGTCAGTTTTGTTGTTTTTGAAATTCATTTTGTTCTGTGGTTGGAATATTTTAAAACCATGATTTAGAGTTCAGCATGATTATATTTTTAGTGAAATGGGAAAATAATACCAGCAACACATACAAAATATTACATCAAGTTTACGCAATGATAATGAATAAAATGCGGGTTTTCGTGTAAATTAAGCAATTTCAAGAGGAAGGGGCAGACATTATGCAAATGAAGAAAAATCAAGCCACTCATCTTACAACTTAACAGAAGTTATTAAAAAGCGGTGAAAAATGGTTGTTGATTAAATGGATGATGACAGAGAAAGCAACATTTTTCTGGATAAGGAGATGTTTTCACTGCAAGACAGTGGCTTCTGTTGTGGTCCATGATCACTCATAGCAAGTATCAATTTCACAAGTCTTCCTCTTCAGTGTTTCAGTTCAGTCAACATTCTGATCTCTCCTCAGCCTTAGAATACGCCCGGCAGCAACTTTCATTTCCTCTTGTACTCAAGCCAGAATTCTAAAAATGAAGACCGCTCAGATGTTTGTTTCATGAGCAAAATCATCATATCATATGACAAGTCTTTTTCCAAAAGACTGCTGACAATAACCACTGATGCATCACTTGTCGCTGGTGACGGTCTCCCACTCTTTCGACCATTGGCCAACGCTCACAAAACCAATACGAGACAAAAATGCCCAATGGACATTGCGATATGGTCCACTGTATACTCTCAACAAACTTCCTGTATTTGAATCTTGACTCTCAGATGGGTTATTGTTATGAATTCTGATATAATGGCAATGATCGCCATGTGATATTCAGACTGAGACCTTTCCATCCCTTATTATGGAACCAAAGAATTAATAACAAAGGAAACAAACACACTGATGCTGCTGCTCTGAAGTGTGGGTCTCACCTGACAAAACAACCAGAAAGATTTCATCATTGTACCACTTGGATATGTGCACTGAACTTTACTTTTTACACCCCCAACCCCCCCACTCTTAAAAATACAGGAATCATATAACTTTTCAACAAACTTATAACATTTTCAAATCCTGTAGTTTGCAGATCTTTTTAAATATAATCGTAAAAAGCAAAACTGGTAAAGTAATATTAAAAATTAAAAACTAATGTCAAAGAACTATATATAAGGTTAGATAAAACATAAACATATCTTTAAGAAATACAATCAGACTACGGCAACTACCATACAATTTTTATGATAAATTCCGGAGAAGGATAAAGGCAGAAGGATTATGGAGAGATCGTTCATTCTAAATAGGCAAGACAGGGCATTTGCAAGTGGGTTCATGTAAAGTCACTACACTCAGAAAATTCAAACAATACGTATGAGTTACGTGAGAAAGCCCATCTATTTACTTAATTCCTGTGTTTTGTGTATATATCTGTGCTGTGACTCTTTGGTAACAAGCAATCCATTCAAACTGACAACATTTTACACAATCTGAAGAGAGCCTTCACTAGCATCAGTACAACGCACATCTTACGTTGGAAGTATTTTTTAGTTGTATAAAATCTCCAAACAGTTTGACAGCTGCCTACCTTTAGTCTTCATCTTAAGCACCAATTCTCCACAGTTGATGACCTTGGCATCTTGCAAGGGTCGACACATCCGATCGACTGGGAGGCCCTCGACGTGCGACACCACCTCCTGCCCTGACAGCACATGCCCGAACACCACGTGCACTCTACAACGGCAAATTTCAAACAATGATTCGATGCACTTTAAAAGATACAAATTCAAACTTTTATTATCAAGCTCTTCACAGAAATGCATTCAATTAAACTGAAGACATATAAGTGAAATTTAATAAAATGTATACAGTAAAGAAAAAAGAAGTCTAAAGTGTTGCCAACTACATTTGTATTTTAAAGCTTGTTATGTTTAAGCTTCAACTGTAATCTGAGCTTCTTATAATGATAAAATGACAAGAGATCAACTTATATTCCAGACAGTGTATTAAAATATGAACTACGGCCGTTAATGGCTACATGCAGCATGGCCTTGAGTCTGGAACGTTACTTACTACCTAACAATAATTTATGGAGCATTAAGTGAAATACATTACTTACCCATCCAAGTGGGGGGCTGGCTGCGTCGTACTACAAGAACAAAACATGATTAGAGCGAGCGTGCCGTCACGACCTGGCTGGCAGTGGCACCATACCTCAAGCTGAACCACAACTACACAGAAACAAAACACCGTTAAGTCGGCATCCACTATAACGAGTATGGTGACGGTCCAGTCTGAATAACCCTGGTCTTGCAGGGTTTCATGCAGATGGTATTTTTGTAAATTAATTCAAATTATGACACAGCGAAGTTAAAATGCATACAAAACTGAAACTTAAGTTAAACTGTTCTTCATAAAATAATTAAAGAAACTGTCAGTTTTACCTCAAGTTTCACAACTGAAGCACGTCTGCCGACGAATATGTTAACGCAGAAATGAAACAAAACCACCCTACGGGTAACGAAACTGGCAGCTGTGCAAGTTCTTAAAACACACTGCCGTACTTCAATCTGCATCGGGAAAGCTAACATGAACTGAAGACTACAATGCAATGACTGCAAAACAACATGAAGACAAACCATACTGATCACAGTTCAATATATAAGTAATCTACTCTTCAAGACAGTATTATTTATACACGCCTGTGTTAACCACGGATTCTGACATTTCAATAAAGGGTACATTTCTTCCTACAGTTTGAATATCCACACTTCTACTTGAAGAAATGTGCGTTAGAATGTTTACTGCAATGTATAAAGTGCAAAAACATAAAGAAATCTCAGATTATTCTATGATCTTGGTTCAGCATTTACAACTAAGAAAAAATTATTCAGAAAGGAAGGTGTACAGCATAAATAAATGCTAAGCATATCAGATATGTTTGTCAGCTATGCAGCATATGCAAGATGAATTTACACCTCTGTAACTGTCACATGTTACATAAATTTCAGCGTCTTAAATCTATCAATTTAAATCTACTTCATGAAACTGTTTTATTTTGTAAAGACTAGGTGCTTTGAAGGTTGTTCCAAAGCTCGTAAAACACATACCATATTGGCTTTACTAAAACAGGTGACTACCATTTTCACAAAGATTCTTTTAAATTTTTTAGATTGAAATTGCTTCAGTGATAAATATCTTGCACATTACTTGTGATGTAATTTATCAGTGGACTTGGACACGTGTGTTCTGTATTAAAATCCATATACAGCAGGCAAATTTAAAGCTGATCATTTCAAAAACTTAGGTCTACTGATTAACAGATGTTGCTGTGGCTAATGCCTTATATTACGGTCTACCAGACCTTTGCTAAGCTCCAGCAGTGACGAAGAGTCCACTTCAGAGCTAGGACACATGTCAGGTGAATTCTGCTTCATCCAGTAGAAGGACAATGAGGATAATGGCCAGCAAAAGGGACCTACAGCTTAACGAGGGATTCAAAATATGATGGGGCCTGGTATTACTCTCATTTATAAGTTTATCTTTCTCTGAAATAAGGGAAAAATCAACAGATATTGAACCCCAAGACATTCAAACCAATTATTGCAGTGTCTTAACCACAGACCATCAGGTTCCTGCGTCATTAATGACGAAAGAGCTTCATCATACGGCTATAATCACACTAGTTCCTGAACCTTGATTTACAGTAATCTGCCAAGTTTCTCATGTCACTGATTTGAAATTTTTATCATCCAGCATTTTAGGAATACATGAAGAAAAGATACCATCTACAACAGCATGGCAAAACCACATCTATAACACCCTGTTCAGTAACAACAATCTCTATAATATCACCAAGGAAATTGAAAACTTACTATCCACACATAGATAATAAAAACACAGAACTAATTAGAAAAGTATTTTGACAAAACTGAAAGCAAGATGCACACGCTGAAGGAACAAGCCATTGTGGTGAGCTGACAACAGCAAAGCACATTAACTATTCCACGTCAAAATAACAAATTTTCTGTAAATAAATTCACTCACTCACTCCATGGCGCACGAAAGTCTTTGAAAAGTCGATTGTATACTCGGCTTGTCAAAGAATTGCCTGCTTCCTTTATGGAACCTGAAGGTCCTGTACATAAATATATAGTATAATGTCTGAGTCTCAAATAATTATCCATGGCAGGAAAAATGTTTCAATGTATTCCTTCCTTTTTACATCCAGGCACCTCATGCACGGGCCCTTTCTAAATTAAAACAGATAGATTAGATCTGACTGCAAACCTAACCAACACTTCTGATTGGATACTGATGTTCCTATAAATAAAGCTGCGTATGTCTAGGGCTCGCAAATCTTGGCGGTCAGGTCGCCAAGTCACCTAGAAGTTGTTATGGTGGCTTTCAACATTAATTTATTTTTAGTCTGTCTGTACTTGCTTCATTTAAAATCCCACCTAAAACGGATTATACCACAGAACTGCTCAACATAAACAGAAAAATCTTCAGTGGTAATTTCTGATATGCATTACAGAAAGTGGTTAGTAGAGAGTTCTCTTGCAATGCCATTAGATGGTATGAAGTTTGGCTCATGTGCTGATTATCAGGTACAGTCCAATCTGTATCTGTGCTACACAGTGAAGTCACTCCAGAGTGGGATTGACAATGTGGCAGGCCTATTGGGGTTTATCATACACAGCCACAACTTTAATGTCACTAAATGAAGTACCGAGGATCCCGACCTTAAAGCAGTTAAAAACTCGAGATTTCATCTTAAGAGCTGTACTGTAATGTAAAACTTTCTTTCCTAATTTTATTCAATTATGGCACATTTTCAGGAAAACGTGATTTAATTCCATCCTGAATACTGTCACTTGCAGCAGCATCCCCAAATGCGTGAACACTGATCAATTTCATTTTTTGCTTCAATGTAAATGAAATAATTTAGGGTCAACAGTCAGCTAAGACAAACATTTACTGATTTGCCACATAAATATTATTAAACAAGATCTGAATTCTGCTCCATCTATAAGCAGAATAAACTTAATCCACTACTAATATTTCAACAAACTTACACAAAAAATTGAGATCCATTAGTGTCTTTTCCTCGATTTGCCATTGACAAAAGGAATGGTTTCTCATGTTTGAGTTCAAAATTTTCATCTGAAACAAAGAAGCAAGAAATAGCACATGTAAAAATATAACAGTAATCATGTACATGAACAGAAAAATAACAGGAGTACAATGTTAACATAACATAAAAGTTCTCTAATATACAGACAGAAACACACAACACCACAACAGCAAACTTTCACTGCTTCCAAATCACATTAGTGGCAGACTTGAGAGTATATATATCTGAAAACAACATTAAATTATTTTTTAAATAATTGAACACTTCATACTTTGCAGTTATGATTATAATTTTTAGTGGTGGTGCAATTCCCTGCACTGCAGACACTGCACAATTAAGGGTATTAAAATTTTGCAAAAAATATTATTACCTATGAAGTCTACAATACAACCTCAACAACTTTCACTGAGATCTAAGGATGGGTTGTGAACTGTGATTATATATCATGGAATGACCCATTAGTAATAAACAAACAAAATTATTGTAAGACCCACAGTCTGACAAAGGATCCTTCCTTTAACTGCATCTGATCAAATTACATTGAGTGCATCCATTCAACACACAATACATACAGATCTCTTGGAAATGATTTTAAACTTGCACAGTGGAAATAAAAAAACCCTTTATGAAACTAGTCAGTCATAAATCAAGTTCATGCTTCTCAGATAATATAAAATCTCTGGTAATGTTAATATATGGCAATTAAAAGTTGAAGCTTTATAATAAAACAGAAACAGTGCAAAATAATAAACATAAACATGAAAATTACCTGCAAATGTCCCACCATAGATTGATTCCCCACCAGTTCCATTCCCAACGGAGAAGTCACCTCCTTGTATCATGAAATCGCGCACAACGCGATGGAAGATGATTCCCTTGTAATGTAGTGGTTTACCTGTAGTTTTACCCAAGCCCTTTTCTCCAGTACATAGTGCACGGAAATTCTCGCACGTTAATGGGCACAAATCTGAGAATAACTCGAATACAATTCGTCCCATGGGTAAACCACCCACTTCTACGTCAAAGAAACAACGCGGTCGGTGTGGTGGTTTCATTATTGTCATTGTTGGGGCGACCTTCCGAAACTGAAAAGTAAAAACAAATCACATAATTGCTTCATTCAGTTTACCTAAAAGTCTAGGAATAACAAAAGTTCATAAAGTGAACTATTTGTACGACTGTGTTCTTATAGTGCTAAAATGGGCGAACACGTTACAAAGTTTCATTAACTTGTGTATTTACAAAAGAAAATTATAAATATTCAGGAAAAATGATGCTAATCAACTGCGGATATAATCGATTACAAAAGTACTATGACAAAATAACATTACACACTACCACTAACCTTCACCTGCTATAAAACACGCAGCCTTCCTTCTAACTGATTTATAAACATATATAAACGAATTACACCTCAACGTATTCAAGGATTACGTATTCCCATTGCAGTGAAAACGCCACCTGAAAACAGAGAAAACCGGAACTTATGTTAGTACCGGAATTACAACTTGCACCAAAGATGTTCGTACCACAGACAAAAGGAAGAAAACGTACCCGACTCAGGTCAGACTAACCAGAGCCTGTTATCATCCATATCGCTCTTAATACGCATCGCTTCAGTATCAAACATCACCCTACAAGCGCGATATGCAATGGAAAGCACGCACCAAGAACCATACATAACCTAACAACCACAGAAAATACTAACAGCCGTAACACGACTGTTAATACCAAAATAACACAGGGCGAGGTGGTCTGAGAAAATGGTCTCTCTCTCTCTCTCTCACACACACAATGTTGTGAAATTACATTTATATATGTGGTACTTATAACAATAGTCGGCCCCCCAGGTAATTTTAATACACAAAAATGTCATACATCTTACAAATTTGCACCCAGAAAGGTGAAATTTATTTTTCATTGTTCGGAACTTTTGGTAATTTTATTCCAATAAAAGAATAAAAATTAAAAAAGTGTCATGAACAAGTCATTAAAATATTCACCTTAACATTCCTCATTGCTCAATAGTCTTTCGTTCATTGGTGATTTTTACTACAATTAAAAGGTTAGGCTCAGATATTTTCAAACATTCATGATTTGTGTTCTCTCAGAGATAATTTTTCTTATCTGTACAAAACGTGTACTCATTTTGAAACACATTCGATCTCTGACAAAGGCAGAGGATTCCTACGTACAGACATGCACACAAGCATAGGTGCATTCAAAATGCCACAGTGGTGAGATGAACTCTACTTTGATACGGACCATGCCTTTTCAGTCTTGCTACTTTGTATTCTTTGGACAGAGTTTATAAAATGAACGCATAATGAGGCAGTAATATAGTTTCCTTCACATGTCACATCTCTAAACTTCCTTAATTATCTGTTACTTCATCATACTTAGCTTCAACACTTAAGTTCCATTAATGGCTCAAGTCTATCATGAAATTTTCAGACCTAAAAACGTTTCATGGTTCCCTTTGTTTCTCTCTTTGCATTATATGCCCCATAAATTTTATCACAGTTTGTATTACTGTAATATAATTTGAAGAGTACAAATTATAAATCTTCATGTAGTGTAATTTGCTTCACCTGTCCTAAGTCAAGGGATGCAGAGAAATCACAGGTAAAATACAACCGACACAATGTTTCTGTTTGGTATACAGATATCTTTGTTTTATTTATACATAATACTTTATTCCATTCACATATGATACAGTTCAACATATACATTTTACTGAGTACTCCAACCGACACTATTGTAGTGTTGGTATTATACTGCGTTATTACATTTTGAGTAATAATAAATATGTATTTTACATCTGTACATTCTCAAATCTCTTTTGTTGATTTCTAAGTTAAGTACCTTGTGGTGGTTACTTCAAATACCATCAACATACAGCAATTTCTTCAATCAGAGCTGATGTGCCCTTTACAATATTTTCTAACCAATTCAGGAATTAGTGCAATAATTCTTACTGGAAGTAAATTTAAGATATAATCACCGATGCTTTGGGTTTCATTTAGTTAGTTATCACTGATACATCATTGCTGTACAGACAAAACAATATTTAGGGATGTTAAACAGTATTGGAAGATTATTATTAAAGATAAAAATACCACTTAAATCTCATTAATGCATCATTCAATACTGCCATAATATGCACTTTTAAAAATATAAGTAACATGTGGTATGTATCTGCATATTTTGTTCCATACTTTAATTGTGGAAATTCTGTACCCTTATGTATGCAAATGTTCTCATTATATTTTGCAATTTTTTTTCAAATATAATGAAAAAATTCAATCTCTTGGTTCACCTTTCTGATTCTTGTTTTGTTAGTCTGTACTGTGCATCACTTTTAGTTTATACTAATGGGATGGGTAATAAATTTATTTTGTATATTTTTTATAGGAGACAACAGTCATTAAGATTCAGTAAGACTGATTTCTCTAAAGTACCATTAATATCAACAGGACAAAATAGGAGAAACATTCAGAGAGTAAACAGCACTTGAACACTAAGTAGGATTTGAGGTTTTCACAGCGCTGAGTCTGAAGATGGCTGTCTTCTGGGTTGTTGTGCCGTGCAGTCTGGTAGATGTTTACCAATGCTTCAGAGGTCCTTGCTGCCTCCATCATCAGGGCTATGAATCGCGCACAACCCAGAAGCCAGCAATCTTCATTTGAACACTAAATTAAAGGAAACACACTACTTGACAGGCATCCTTGAAATAAAATTTTTGGATTCCACCTACATGACATGTTGCAATCTTTTTGCTCCCAAAAGGCTTCCTGCTCTCAACAGGTTTACAATGTTTAGGCTGCAACTGCAAGAGCTCGTGTTAATGTGTATTATCGTTTACAAAGGAAAAGTCCATTACAACTGTTTACCATTAATGTTATTCAACATTTAAAATGATATTCAATCATCTGATTATTTTGATATTAAATTCAGAGCTGTGCAGAAATAGTTACTTCATTCATAAAACAAAACATAATTGATACTTTCCCTTAAAATCTAAAATGTATAATGTCTAAAGAAGCACATTATAGTACAAATGGAACACATTCACCTAAACAGCTGGTGTACATACAAGTCTGCTTTATCTGAAAATGGACTTATTCAATTTTATGAGGGAAACCATTTTATTTGTTATTTATTGTGGTCTTCTGATGTTGTGATGCTGTGTAGTATTATTGGTTTTATCAACATTTTGCAGAAACCTGTTGCCTTCATCAGGGTACCCTGAAGATCAAAGTGATAGGGCCCTCCACAGCACCATAACCCAGAAAACAATAACTCAAATTTCCACCAGAATAAAAACTTCAAATCTTATAATTCTCTCATTTCTCACCACAAATTTGTTTGACAGAAACCATTTTTCACAAATTTACAGCAATACTTATATACAAGAATAAGTAATTTTGCCTTGGTTTAAGAGTATATTTCTATTTAATTTTCCAAAATTATTTATATTATAAAGGAATTTTCAGTGTTATCGTTCCAACCAAAGTTTAGATTAATGAATTTTCATGATGATGAACCCAAGGTGCACAAAATATGGCAAGTGTGCTGCATCCATCCCTGACTCATTTGGTAAGTCTGAAAAATAACTAATATCACCTCTAACACCACCACATCTGACTTCTTTATTTTACTTTAGAGTAAACCATTGTTTATTCTTCAATGTTTATATTATCGTACACTGTCAACAACTAACATTTTGGTACTGTAAAGATCATAAGCACTACAATGTGGATTTATTTTATGCATTCTGTTCTAAAACACTCCAAAACTGAAAACCTGTGGACATTTCTCCACATTAAATATCTGCTTCATTTATTTTTAACTAAAATCCTATTTCTGATCAAATATTAATGTGCAGTAAACTACTTTTGCATAGACACAGTTTGTTGGTGGATGAAGTATGGTTGAAAATATTATTTTTACCCCCTGGCACAAGCACTACTTAAATCCAATACAAAATGCAGAAATACTGACAATTCATGTTTATATAATAAATAGTTGCCCTACTGCTGTATACAGAAGCTAATGTGAATGAAATTTATTTTTACTTTGAAAATGCCCAGTATAAGACATCAGTAGGCTAGTTACAGAATAAAGTTTATTGAAGTCCATAAAATTGTTGTCAAACTTGCAAAAAGACAGAAGAAAACAGCATAACATATGAAGGGTATTCTGAAACAGGTGAATTTTTGCGAACCTTAATTCAATAAATGATCATATGATGCATAAGCCACAAATGCAGATGGTTAATGGTGTGATATTCTTATTACAGAGCAGAGTTTAGAAATGGCCAGCGAAATCTTAACTGCTTCCCCATTTACCTGAAATAACCCAGGTTAATGATTTCTTAAGAAAAAAATACTCAGTTAATTGGAATAATATTTTTCTTGTCCTATTATTACTAAACTGGATTAAACAAGGTCATGAGGAAAATACAGACTGCTGTACTTTCACAACTCATGCGTGTTAAAATATTTTTATGCTAGACCACACACACACACATAGGAGGACTTTTATGATTCTGTAGCATGTGTCAAGTTCATTGTCATCTGTGTGCTATGATTGTGAAGAAGTTAGTTTTTACAAGCAATGGAAAGTTTTCCTGAAATAACTAAGACCAATAATCATTATAATTATACAAAAAAGCATTTTGTGCAGTACGACCATATTTTGCATCAAAATACATATCTCCATCTTGGTGCCTGACTGGTCACATGCTGCCATTTTTTAATCAAAACTTCAAGTGAAACAAATGCATATTCTGAACAGATGTTATAGTCTTCTTCAAATGACACCTCATCTGTCATTTTTTCTGAATTTAAATGGTAGCAAGTCCCCAGTGTCTCAGAGACATGGTAGGCGTGTTTGGAGAGAGTGACCAACCTCATCTTGGAGACAATGCTAGTCAGCAATGGGTTAACTGAATCACCCTCATATGTGGCCAGATACGACGTGATTGCAATCTTGCTCACTCTCTGACGTGAGAAATATTTTACATCGCTCAAATACATTGTACTAGCACAGAAGTGAGAAACACATTTCTTGCATCGTACGTCTAACATTACATCCAGTTTATTAGTTTATGTGGATATAACTACAAATACAAATTTGTTTTAGAAATAGTTTTCACATGCGTATCCCTCTATTTATCTTTCAAGTAATTTTATTTATTTCCACTGGCAGCCATCAAACTATAACTACTTCATTTCAAAATAACATAAGTATTACTAAACTCAGTTGTTTTAGACCTACAGAATAGTTCCAGTTTTTATTTGAGACACTGGAAATCTGCGAAAGGTACATGAAACTCATTAAAATTAATTAAGGATGCTTATCAAATATTTCAACATCCACAAAATGTATCTGTCCAACAGATTGGGAAAAATTCAATTGTAAATTGCAAAAGTCAGACTAGTACAGTAAGAGAAGTAACTCCATGGAGCACATTCCTTCTTGAGAAACTAAGTCATTCACCTAACAACAAAAATCCCTGCTTTTCATGGAACCTGAAGATTCATTATTTTTTTCACAAGAATTTTCAATTGTAACATATCCTCAAGAAATTAATCCAGTCCACATCCACACACAGGTCTCAACATTTTTTGAAAATACTGTAACCACATAAATATTTATAAAAATATTAAATACTGCAATAACTTATCAGTTATGTTCTCAAATTATCTGAATGTGGTTACGTATTTCCTCTGTGCAACAAGAGTTATTCAGTGTGTTCAAATGTCTTGACTTTAAAAAGCCAACTGTCTGCATATTTCTGTGGTCAAAAGTCCCTCAGCTCTGGTCCACTGATAAGAATCATTAGGTATTTTAAGGTTCATCATCCAGGCATGTCATGTAGCTGTTTCTTACGAGGCTCATCTGACAAAATCCACGTCCACAAGATGCTGTGGAAGCAGGCAGTAGATTATATAGTCTCGCACTGGAAATCTATCATTTTGAGAAAAGAAGTTCTCAAGCAGTTCTTTAATATCCAGAACTTTCCTATTGCATTTATTCATGACAGGAAACACCATGCTTAAAGTGTTCAGCAAGAACTGATATGTTGTCTGTCAAATTCTGCAAGATCCTGTGTTGCCACACACTTTGTATGAATTTCATACATCATTACATGTGTTATGAGTTCCAGAAATCAGGGCTCTATGATAGGCAGGGCCACAAACAGAGGATGCCTTGAGAGATAATGTATTGCATATGACAGAGCTGAAAGTTTCATGACTGAAGATAGCATGTAAAAGAAAATTATGACTCATATCGATCTTTGTGACTTTGGGTGTACTGTGCTCTGAAAATTTAGAACACAGAGCAAGGCTGATGAGGAGAAAGAAAAAATTCAGATGCCACTATTTTGGGCACATAAAAGCAGGTATACCTCATTTAATGAAAACTGCATCTACATTCCTAAGAGCGAACTCCAAAACGTAAAATGGGAAATTTGTTGCCAGTTGAAAATTTTCTGTTGCCAATACTGACCATACAAGTGTAATTTTAAAGACCTGTCTCACACATTACTTCGCTGAAGATCCATGATAATAATTTCCTCCAGTTAATGCCTAGGTCTTACAAATGCTCTCCCATGTACGCTACATGCCCCGCAACTCATCACGTTTCATCACCCTAATACGCAGCAAAAACAAATTGTGAAGTTCCTCATTATGTAACATCCTCCTCTTACATCGTCCCTTTTACGTCTAAATATTCCTCTCAGCACCTTGTTCTTAAATACCCTTGATCGCTGTTGTTCCCTTAGGGTGAGAATCCAATTTTTGCACCCATACAAAAGAACAGGTATAATCTTTACATTTTTAGATAGGATCTGGGGAGACAAAAGATTATTAACTGTGTGGTAGCAAGCATTCCACAAATTTAATCAGTTTCATCGTGAATGAAGCTTCAGTTTGTTACTGCCATTGTCAAAAATATGAACTCTAGCCACACAATAGAAGTATTTGTTAGCTTTCTGTATATTATGATTCTGTCCTGCAGTCTGGTGATGAGGCAGAAACACATACACCTGGTTTATAACGCATCTACTTACAAATCAGCCTCCTCATTAATATATAACAGTTTCTGCATTGCAGTAACAAAATTCCGCTGTTAGTATTAGTGTTCGCACTCACGATTGAGTGGATGAAGTGAGCGAGCAATGACTGATATTCAATGCTTAAATTAAAATTATGATCTGGACAAATTATAACACAGTTTGGGGAGATAAAGCTTAAACTCCCGTTCTAAGCTTATGATTATAATTTAATCAGTGTATGTACAATCAAATTGTTTGTTGCATTAAACCATATGACTGCCTCAACTTTCTCTGTGCAACTGATAAAACATCAAGTGTGAAGGAGAAATTTCATAACAGTAGAGTAATTTATCTAATAAATCACCCGAAAGTTGAAAAGTGAGTTCAGCCCATTTTATGACTGACAAAAGTAAAGAATATTGACAGTTTCTGAATGGCTAGATCAATGCTGCACTTGACACTTGACATTAGGTGATGCTAGTGTTTTCAACACATAAATTAACAATATTTTGTCCAGTATTACCATTTATGGATCTGTAAATACATGACCACTGAGTGCGGCTGAAAATCTTTGTGTGGTCACATAAATTTCTTACATATCCGGTGTGACAGCAATACATAAGAGTCCCAAAAAGGCACAGCCATCACTATTGAATGGTAACCAGCTTGTAAATGATTACAGAACTATCACCAGCACAACTGAGATCAACATACAGTGGTATTGTATTCATACTACTGATTTATCTTTTCATGAACATCTGCCAGTTAAAAGATAAATGTCATTTCAAAACATCCCACAGATTTTACAAACACTTCACACATTGTACAGAAGAAAAAATGGAAAGATATATTTACATAGAAGTAACATTTGCCATTAAAGAAGACTTGACCTCTAAAACGTGGTATCTCATGACAAATGAGGATGAAAATGACAGTATTTTCAGTAAGTTATAAACTATTTACAAGGAACTTACATTAAATACACAAAAGGAGAGATCATACTGAAAGGATGAGTGGCATTCGGATTCAGGCGGTATTAATTATTTCCACTGGAAACCAAATACCTAAAACATACAATTAAAAGGGATCATTCTAACTACGTGTATGTTACTGTTTGATTTCTAATCACTGATGGAGACTCAGTACGTATTTCCATTCCAAAAGTATTTTTTAAATTGCACAAGAAACTCTGAAACATGAGCCAATAAAACAATTAAACATGTAACTGTTATATTTTGTTATCTGTAATCATCCTTTCAATATCATGAAATGACTGTCAGTCATTCCTTGAAGTTCCTTTCGAACATTTAACAAATCTTCACAGTTCCCAAATTTTATGTTGCCTTAATTCTGAACGAAGGCAAGCTTTTTAAAATAATCTGGAATGTTTTTATACACTTAAAAGTTGGCAGTACTGCCACAGAACAACGGGATTAAATGACAGACTTCTTTCTCAAACATTTTAAACCTGAAAACTTCACAACAGCAACCATAATACATATTTATTGTATTTTAGATGTTTCACTATTTGTTTTTTACAAGCTTAGGTAACTTTGCAATGTTAAACACTAAAGCTAATAAAAGCTTATCACAATGTTCTTAACTGAATAATGTTGTAAGAATGGAATTAGATAGGTGAATGAGGACTTAGTTTTTCCTGTGTGCCTCTTCAGTCTCCACACTGCTTTGACTCCGGTATTTGTAAACCTATAATACGAAGCAAAACCTACAAGCAGTTACTAAATGCAATACCTTGAATGGATCATTTGTCTTGGCATGGACTTCACATTACACGCCAGCCATTACAGCCAGGACACTGGCTTAGGTTAAAAGTCGTCACGAAGAGAACAGAAGGTGTAAACTGTCAAAACCGATATAAAATGGGCTGCAGAAGGCAAAGCACTCTTTTAGTTGTTTTCTTACTTGTGTTATGTGGACAAACATTTTTGGAAATTGACAGATCTACTACAGCAGAATCTATGAGCCGGGATAGCTCAGTCAGTATAGTGACTAGCTACGGGCTGGACGACCGGGGTTCGATCCCCGACGGGGGCAGAGGACTTTTCCTCTAGCCTCTGCGTCCAGACCGGCTCTGGGGCCCACCCAGGCTCCTCTACAATGGGTACCGGGGTCCTTTCACAGGGGTAAAGCCGGCCGGGGCGTGATGCTGACCACTCACCCCCATCTAGTGCCGAGGTCAAGGAAGAGAGGAGCTATACCTCCACTCACCCCAAATGCCTACATGGTGTATAGTGGGACAAAATTTACTTTTACTGCAGCAGAATCTAAGTCTCATCGTGTGCAACTACTGCACATTTCATCAACATTTCTAATTTCCTCACAAAATGAAGCTTTCAATATGTCTTTTCAAATTAAATATGCTATCTCTAATAGAAGATGACAAAGTACTATAACAAATAACAGCAACTATTATAATAATAAAAAAAAATGTTTAAAGTCACATATCTTATTACACTTACTTTGTGATGATTATGGTACATATTGCACTTGCAAGTTGGCTAGCCTGGTTAGGCAATGAGTATTTTGTTGTTCAGTTTGCAGCAGGAAACATCTGCTGTTGACTTCCATCAGACTCAAAATCACTCCATGCATTATTTAATTCCATGAAGATAAGTTTGGCAATTTCTTCATTTGGTGTTCCCATTTGCTGTAACAAAAGAAAATGATTTCATCTTTAAAATTTTTAACACACCTCTAATAGTTGTGTTAAAAACTGGTTCATGTAACTGGATATGTGAAGGACATAAAGATGAATTCAGTTCTAGTTCCATCACCCTGGTTTTTGTTTTGTTTGTAATTTTTATGTATCTATAAACCTGTACACATATTCATGTAAGTATAAGGCCTTCAACTCTGATGATTAGCATCGAGTAGGTGGACGAGTTCATGATTCCAAACTGATTATGGTTTGGTAAAAACTAAAATTTGTAGCTGGGTAGCTGCTACACAGACTCCTTGGAAATTGTTGCATCACAGAAGGCGCGATAAACAACAAAGACATAACGAGTCTCCAGTCGTTCCATATGGATGCAAAATAATTCAACGTAGCAGGAAGCTTATGTGTCAGCGAACCCTTCTAATGTTAATGAGTCACATGGCTGGTACACCAAGTGATTTCATTTACTTAAAATACTGATCTA